TTATTCTCTTAAAGAGTGAAAACAAAACATTGGGCATAATAATATGAATTCATTTTACTTAGTTAAATTCTCATTGGGTGTTTACAACTTATAATACTTTCAAGTCAAGATTATTATAAATTTCAAAAACTTATAACAGTAAAATTAGATATGTAGCGTCATCGTAGAGTAGTGATTCGAATGTGATGGGACTAAAAACATATTAAGAGAGCTGTAAACAAATACGAAGAGTAAGAGAGCATTCTAGATCACCAGAAATAATAACAAGAGACCATAAAGCTGGACACAAATTAATAGCAATTAAGAATAACAAGAGTTGACATCAGTCAGTTAAAAACAAATTATGGATTTGAGAAAAGTGATGTGATCAAAATAAAAGTGAAAAATTGCAAGATTGATGTAACTTGGTGGCCTGCTTCAACATGTGGGCTACTTGTTCCTATCATCTTGATACATCATGATATCTGTTAATCACATAACCTATTTAGGTGATTTTGTGAAAAGTGTACAAACTTTCGTTGTACAAGTAACAACAGGGCTCAGTCAGAGATATCGTGGTTGTTGACAATATACACTGAAAAGAATGTACATTATTTAGCTGTCAATTGAATGGACTGCTACCTCTTAATTGACGATCAGTCAGTCACAACGTAGAACTTTGTACGTACGTACATCAGTTCGAGTTGCCACACCACATTAGCACAGAAATGTAGTTGTCAACTCAAATCCCGTAGTGGTAGAGGTAGTAAAAGTATAAGTAGTAATCGGAAACATTAGGGTTTGAAGATATTATTCAAGGAGTATAATCCAGTAAAATAAATTTGGAAAGAGAAAAAAGAAAGGGACATGAATAATTCAGAAGATTAGAATTTGGTAGAACACAAAGAGTGGATGCACTTGCGCCATTGCAAACGATTTTGAGCCATGTCATTCAGGTTCTATAACCATCGGTTGCTATCATCTCGCGGTCCCCAACCAGGTAGGCTACACCTACCAACATGTCTCAGTCCACTTGTCAGTGACTTTAGGGACTTGTGCCATGTTTTGATCTGGCCGCCCCTAGCTTCCTTCGAACCTAATCCTATACCATCGAACATCGCATGCCGAGACAGTCGGTGGTTGGGCAAACGTAACACGTGTCCCAGTCATCTCAACTGATGAAGTTTCACTACTTCATCCATTGATTTGCCATCCTTACCTAGTACGCGTTTCCTAACAACTGCGTTACTTACTCGATATTCCCAGGATATATGAGCAATGTTTCGAAGACACCTATGATCAAATACTAGTAACCTACGAACATCCTCTGCTCTTACCGGCCATGTTTCACTGCCATAAAGTAGGACCGAACGAACTGCTGCGCAGTAAACACGCTCTTTGGTCCATAGATGATCACTCAATATTTATCGTCAGGATCGATGAACAGTTAAGAAACAGAAAGTTGTTGAAATACATTGTGTTGAAAATTCCATATTGTACCGAAAATGTAATAATGAATAGAGCTAATAGTAATAATGATCAGTAATTAATTAATTAACATTAACTAATAATTAATTAACCCAAACTGTTTCGGTTTGTTTAATATTTTTGATACATTCATACAAACAATACTGTACATTGGAATAAAACCTGATGAAGATCCAAATATAAAAAAATACTGCTCGATAGTATGTATTGTTCTGATTTATACAGTGGGTATTTTCAATATTTTATGATCAAGTTATTTAAGTAATGCAACAAAAAAACATATAACGTCTTCAAAGCTTCAAAATTCTGAGTCTACAACTTTTATTATTTCGTAATTTTGACTCAGCCAATATAACTAGCATAAATTTCGTACAAACCTAAAAAAATAAACCTATTATCACTTCATGATATTATATGTTCAACATAATCTCTTTTTTCTAAATAACTTTCAAGAAAGACATATCTTTAGAACTATTTCACATTCAGATCTACCTGATTGTGGATATATCAATAAAATACTTGATTACTTATTTGTCAGCTATTGAAACATAGACATACATACTGATGATCAGATGAACTCGTGGTGTCTAACCGAAGGTAACGTCGAATCACCGCGATTAAAAGTCTTCTGTCAGTATCTCATATTTATGTACGAAGGCATCAATCATAACGTACATGAATACTGTTGTTATTTGGAGAGGATACATCAGGTTGTTATTAGATGGTGGTTGAAGGTAGTCGACAGGGAACCCGCGTCCAGGGTTTCACAATAGTGCACGCAGTGTCAAGTCACCTAGGATGGTGGCCAAATTGCATCATGGTCGATAGCATTCGATCTGCACTAATAAGGACTTGATACAAATGACACTGGTCACCACCCAGTGATCAATCAATTGTGATCAGGTTGTTATGTCGATTATAATAATTAAAAACATTTCTTTGTTATGGTACAAAGCATTATCATTATAGGGTATCAAATAGCTCGGATGACTCAATATCACTGACGAATCCTCCTTGCTTTACACACAGCTATAGGCTAAAAATACAGGTGTTTTCTTCTTTTTACTGTCTAGAAAATTCTAATCGAACTGAATGAGGGCATATTATTTGTAGTGAATCTTTCCGCTTCATCATTTAATACAATTACATTGAGTAGTAGTTAGTATATATCACCAAGAATGACACTGCAACCTTTGATATAGCTGTTACAGTAATCCTAAAGACAAAACAACAATACACTGTCTTAAAGACTTCTGATACGTCTGATAAGTCACTCCTGTGTGACACTACTGTGGCTTGAAAATAAATTTTTGAAGACTTTATTTAAGAAGACCGTGGTCGCTGTTGAGAAATTCGATTTTAGTTGAACTTACAAACCCAGTAGTTTTATTTCAATAGTGTTTGAAATGAAAGCAGATGTGATTAACTTTTACTTATTAAATGTCAATATGTGTATATATTATATTAAAGCTCTACAACTATTCACTATAAAGAAGTAATTTCAATAAACATGTTTTTACTTTGACAGAGAATTCCAACCTTAAACCTCCTCGTGGCTCTGCTGAATAGTAGGAGCAACCTTGACAATTAACTTAGGCGGTCGATGAAGATCGGACTAGTCATACACTCTGTTGTATCTTCGATTATCCGGGGTTCCGAATCCGGCGTTCACTTAACCGTACCGGGATACTCGATGTGCATACTTATATACAAGAACTGCAGAAGTTCTCTGACCTATGCAATTCAAGTATTTAGGTGTAGGCAAAGGGTGTGAGTACGATATCTTACTGTTATACTTGTGACCGCCAACTAGAGAGCAGTGACTTGTCGATTGGATTAACGACGCGTAAAGCACGTGCGAGCATCCTAGAGTTCTGATTGGCCCTGCTTTCCGCCTAGCCCAGCCAGTTAAGTCCAGAACACAAGTTTCAGCCTCTGCAATATGAATCATTATATTTCGAACACACTGAGTTTATACACCAAACAAAGAGACCACAACGTAGCATAAGATAGAAAATAACATTTGTACAAAATTTGGCCAACAGGAAAACGACACGTGAAATATATAATGACCAGTAGAAAAATGACATCATTTCAAGTCCAAGGATAGCATTAGACTTAACAGGATAATTTTAGGGATATTTTTTCTTAAAATCTCTACACTTACAAAGATGTCTAGCTGAAAAACTGTCTGCACTGTGCAAAATACAATCGGCGGTCCATCTACCAGGTCGAAGACAAAGGATGCGGCAGCAAATACTAGGGAGATGCAATCAACAACCTCCCTTGAAATAATACTTATGCTTATGTACGAGTCACTTTAACTACCGTCAAAATAAGTCATACAATAAGTAAGAAAGTATTGATGGTAAATATTCCCTTTCAATAAGACTGTCACTGTGCTTTTTAATATAGGTAGCGTAAACGTTTGCGTGAAATTCTTTTCATTAGAGCTCAATGATTGTGGACCTATTAAATTCCAAGGGTTTACGACAGTTCAGTAAACTGGTTCGGTGAATATGGAAGAAGTAAATTCGTAAACTTGTCGCGTACGTAAAGATAATCATAAAAATCATCCGATACTTCAAATGCTGTTCAGGTCTAAAAACATTAATAATACGACATATATGTACGTTTCTAATCTGTCTTTAGTGGTTCTAATTTCTGCGTTTACATAACACCGGGCACTGAGAAAGAAAAGACTATCAGGTTAAGGTAGATGTGAATGAAACAGGTTTATTTAGCAAAGTGTGATAGATATACAAATAAATAACATCGGTCACGAAGTGTATTATCGGGTCGTCTGTGTGAGTCAAAACAGTTTATCAACATCTATTTCAACTGAGAAAACTGTATTTGAAAGTGGTCTTGGTATCGAAAATGTTCCAAAGTCAATTTGTGGATATTGGAATTATAGGAAACTAACGATATAAATCACATCTCGGTCACTATCGGTTTCTTATTAAAAACGATAGAATGTTTCGTGAGCGTACAGATTCCTACACAGGCTTGTTTTTGTGCATCGTTTCGTTATCGGCAAGTAGCATTTTGTGCACTCATCAACCGGTGTGCACATAAACAATATTGAAACTATTGTAGAGAATGAAAACGTTTTTGAGACTTTATCATGGCTCCGGAGGCGGAATACTCTGTAGCCATACGGATTATTTTCTCCATTGCATGAATTGCGTTTTTAGAACCTTTGAACCTCTTTCTGGCCCTGACAAGTATTTCAACCGCGTATAGGAAATGTATCCACTTTATTCCCTTGGTTTTGTGTAATATATATTTACTCTATACTTAGTGTTTGCTGATTGTCTAATATTCTCAAAGTCAATTAAAAGTCGTCCAAATGTCGTCCATAAATTATTCTCGACAAATTTACAGAACAAATGTGGAACGTCCAAGCAGATTACTCACTTACATGGTGAAAATAATGCGTCAAAATAATGAATCGTTATTACGTTACTAGATAAACCATACAAGAACTCATTCGAATAAAAAAACATGTACTTATTATTTTAGAAACATACCAATTTCCGGACCAACGAACTTTGAAGTGTAGCATGATAGAGGACGCCCAAAATGGCACATTAAAACAAATACAACCAACGTAACATTCTTCATGCCTTTCGGATATGTAAAATGTAACACTTTGATAAAATTGTCAAGCACCTTGCTTTTTTATCTAAAACGTAGCTAAACGAAACGCTTACCGAATGAAATTCTGTTTATTACTTAGGGTTAAAAACGAAACGGCATTACCTGACAACTATGGTGAGTTAATCCAGGCCCTGGTTTCATCGCGTTGTGCGGTTTTGCGCAAGCAAATCCTTGTTTACTTGTGTTGCACTCATCAATCACAAAGCTGCATAACAGAACTATTATTCAGGTTGTGCTGGACCAGACGACATATAGACGCAAAAAATATCAACAAAATTAATAAAGATCAATAGTAATAATAATATATACCAGTTAAATGTTACAAATACAATAAAAAATCGGACTTTACTTGAGTTCACAGAAATGACGCGTGTTCAACTTTTGTCTGGTACAGTAAATCCACAATTATAAATGCTTGGTAATTCCAAACGTGTCGACGAACTCTCCAGTGATATAATCCAACGTAGGATGTGATATATTCCAATTACAGTCTATAAATGTAGACGAAATTTGATTCAGACTTCAGTTAACTCAATCACAAACGAAGATAGAACGAGGAATGTGTGAGTAGTAGTTTATTTGTTAGCCAGCAACAGTATGTCACGCTATGTTATTATCACAACGGGAAAAAGTGTTCAAGGTCATTTACTAAAACAACAGGTACAATCATTTAATAATAAATATACAGACAGTGAAAGATTGACAAAACAAATACAAATAATATTGAAAGTATTTACAAATAAGCTTGTCAGACCTATCTCCACATTAGCTCCCCCCAGAGTGTCCGGAGGTAACACTGGTTATTATAACAAAGGAAAATGTAAGGGTATGATATATACATATATACAAAAATAATATTTACGGAAATAACCAACAGAAAATGTGGAGATGGGCATGACATATACGCTACTAAGATGCAATGTGTTATTGTTTGAGAATAGCAGTGATGTAGCGTAGCCTAACGAACACACAAAAAAATGAAAACACTATCATTTAGTGTCTTGTTTGGCTAACAATGATAATAATGTGTATAACTGTTAACGACCCACAAAAAAACTGAACTGTCTATTTTTGTGTACAATAAATACGTAATTACTCGTTTATTATTGTAACAAAAAAATGTGACAAGACGAATAATTGTGGAAAAATGTGAAAAAATTTTTAGATGGTATTGATAGTTTAGGTCTTCGATAATTGTTTGCTTTGATTGTTTTAGTTTTTTTATACGGTAAAATGTACGTGACGCTTTGGATTTTTTATAAGTCTCCCAGAACGTGTTAAACAAGAGGGTGTATTGCTAAATTCTTCCTCTTCTTCTTGTTTATTAGTAATCGGTGGAAGTGATTGTTTGTTCGCAGTATTGTCTTCTGTGTCTTGAGGGACTTCGTAGAGAGCTGGTTTTATTCGGTCTATGGAAATTGTCTCATTATTCCCATTTTTAATGATAATGAAATATTGGTGAGTGCGTTTTATTACTTTATAAGGACCTTCATATGGTGGTATCGGTGGCTTTTTTACCGCGTCTACTCGAACAAAAACAAATTTGCACGTTTCTAACTGTTTATCAAGATGGACTCGGTTGTTGTGTTCTCGAGGTATTATTGCTCTGATGTTGTGCATCATTTGTAGTAATCTGCTTACAAAACGAGAAGAGCCTCCTGGCGTTCTGAGTTCATTCTTGACCAGTTGTCCTGGTAACGTTAATGTCGTGTCATAGACTAGTTCAGTGGCCGTGCATCCGATGTCTTCCTTTACTGACAAGCGAATCCCAAGGAGAACGAGCGGTAAAGCATCTCTCCATTTTGAAGAGTCTGGTTCTGCTATCAGAAAGCTTTTTAGTTGGCGATGGAATCTTTCGAACATGCCATTAGCTGCCGGATGATAGGCTGTGGTTTTGACATGATTTACTCCAAGAAGCTTAGTGAACTCGTGAAATAGGACGGATTGGAATTGGGGACCGCGATCTGTTGTGATTGTTGATGGTACGCCATAGATGGATATCCAGCGGTCGAGGAAAACTGAATCCACTGTCTCTGCCGGTGTGTTTTTAATGGGGCATACTATGGCCCATCTTGTGAACCTATCGGTTGCTGTGAGGATATATGTGAAAACGTTTGATGGTGGCAGAGGCCAAAATAAATCTAAATGCACGTGCTGGAAGCGTTTGTCAGGGATAGGGAACTTCCCAATTAAACTGTAGGTATGTTTCTGCGTCTTACTGCGTTGGCACCTGAGGCAGCTACGTGCCCAATGTTTAACATCCGAGTTGATTTTCGGCCACACAAAACGTTCGGTAATGAGCTTTGTTGTTGCTCTGATGCCTGGATGTGACAGACCGTGCAAGTGCCGAAATATTTTCCGTCGACAGGCGTGTGGGACAAACGGACGATTGTTGCCTGTTGAGGTGTCGCACATGATGAATGCATCTGAAAGAGGAATTGGTACAGGTTTGAGATTTAAGCTGGACTTTTCTTTGCAGACTTTCAATTCTGCATCGTCTACTTTAAGTTTAGCCAAGGTTTCAAGGCTGATGTCATGATTGCGTACCATCGTATTGATATCCCTCCTAGGTAGTGCATCTGCGACAATGTTTGTGTGACCTTTGATAAACCTGATATCCGTAGTAAATTGGGAGATATAATCACGTTGTCTTGCTTCTCGTGGGGAGTGTTTGTCATACGATGTGCTAAAAGAATGGCAAAGGGGTTTGTGATCTGTCGTAATGATGAAATCACAACCCTGTAGCAAGAAGTTGAAATGTTTTACGGCTAAGTACATAGCTAGAAGTTCGCGTCCAAAAGTACTATAAAGTTCTTTTGCTGGCGATAATCTCTTGGAGAAAAAGGTTATGGGGGTAATCGTGTTGTTTACCCGCTGTTGTAATACTACCCCGACGGCTTTTTGTGAAGCATCCGTGCATAGTATCAATAGTGTTGTGGGATCAGTATTTAGGTGTTGAGGCATGGTAGCATTGGCAATCATGGATTTAGCTTTTCAAATGCTACTTTGACATCAGGAGGTAACTTGAATATTTGGTTCTTTTCTCTCTTGGTCCCTGATTTATCGTTTTTCAGTGAATCTGTCAACGGCTGTAGTACATCGGCGCAATTTGGTAGAAATCGTCGATAAAAATTTCATGTTCCAAGAAAACGCCGTAGTGATTTTACTGAGGTTGGTTTTGGGTAGAAGGTGATGACTTTGACGTTTTCTTTAGGCGGTTTAATTCCTTGGGAATCAATGTGATGTCCCAGGAATTCCAGAGATGAGGCGCCAAATATACACTTCGAAGAGTTGATTACAACACCATAACTTTTCAAACGTTCGAAAAGCGTGTGTAAGTGCTGAACATGTTCTTCACTGGAAGAACTAGCGATTGAAACATTGTCGATATAGACAAACACAAAATCCAAACCTCTAGTTACTTCGTCCATAAATCTCTGAAAGGTTTGAGCGGCGTTTTTTAGTCCGAAAGGCATCCTCAAGAATTCAAACAAGCCAAAGGTGTGATTACGGCTGTTTTTTGATATCCTCAGGTGCCATCGGTATTTGATGGTATGCTCGGACTAGATCTAGCTTTGGAAAGATCTGTTTTCCATTTGGATTTAAGGAAAAATCATGCAGATTAGGGATCGGATACCTGTCTAGGATAGTCTGGTTATTTAAACGGCGATAATCTCTACATGGGCGCCAGTCTTGATCTTTCTTGGGAACCAAGGACTGTTAGATCGTCTGATTATTCCAAGTTGCATCATGTGTTCGATTTCTCTCTTAGCAGACTGCAACTTGTTTGGAGGGAGTCTTCTCGCCCTGGCGCGAATGGGTGGTCCTGTAGTAATGTTACTGTGTTGAACATGATGTGTGGAGCGTTCACTTTGGTAATCAGCTTTGGTTAGACTTTCATACTTCGACAGGATATCGGTGAAAATTTTATTTTCAGGTCTTAACATTCGGATTCCATGAATTTCGTAATTGGAGATAGATGTACTGCTGACCTGTAGGCTTGTGTTTTTGTCAATTGGTTTCTTTTAACACATATCTACAATAAGAAAAAGAGAATTCAGCGAAGAAAATTTTCTTTTTCGATGAAATCATTTACTTAAGCTGTACATTCGTATATATAGTTAGATATGGAAAATGTATGTCTATAGAAGGATAGAATGGATTGTATCACACAAAAAATGGATTCGACAATAAATAACGAATGAGGTTAACGTAAGGAGAACAAAATTTAAGGGTCAGATAATAGTCCAATTGACAGATATGAAGAAAAACGTCAAAACAACAAAGGTCATAATAATAGAGTGAATGAAACGCGCACCACGTCCGTTGTCCAGGGTCGTCGTCGCCGTCAGACAGCGGGCTCCTTCTAGTAGACATAAGCGTCGTACGTCCCGAGCAGTTTCTTTGTTTGAGGTTCTCAATTTTGCCGTACGAACTCGTCCGTCAAAGCCATAGCTTACTTGTTCGACAATAGCTTTGGACCATAGACTTCTCAGTGAGCCAACATTGTTTAATAACACTAAGTCTCTCGAAGACTCATCCATCAATACCTTCCGAAACAATAGTGATCGCAGAATTCTTCTTATCGACTTTATGATGCGTCCCCATACACCGTCTCGTTGACTAGACCTCGGAAGTTTAAAGCGCCATTCACAACCTCTCTCTAAAAGGGCATTTACTGTCTTATTCTGATTCCAACTACACATGATCTGTCTAAGAATAGCATTGGATCCTACAGAACTACCAGATGCACCCTTACTCTTGTTCACAACTCGTACAAGGGCGCCTTTCTCAACACCATCCTCGATACCACGGCGAATATGTGCTACCTGCTTCTTCAGGGTCTTAGTTACTGGCTTCTTCGTTACAGTGGTCTTCGGCTTTTTTGTAGTCTTCACTTTCAGTTTGATGTCCTTCTTTTCC